ACCCAAAGCCTATAAACCCTAAACCCTATACCCCATACTTACCAAGCCCGCCTGACCCTCCAAGTACTCCTTGAACACCCTTGAACCCTCGCTAGCTGATATCCGGAAGCTCCCCGGTGCTGAGGGTGGGTGGGGGGGGATATAGGGGTTATATAGGGAATATATAGTCTTGGGACTACATACGATGGGTTTAGGGTTTAAGGTTTAAGGTTTAGGGTTTAGGGTTATAGGGTCATGTGGGGCTTAGGGTTTTAGTGCACTCCTCCAGCAAACGACGGAAGAGTCCTTCCTGGTCCCCACTCCTCGCGGAGGCTGCGGGGAACGGCCTGCACAAAGCCCCCTTTTTCGGGAGGTTCCGGGCATCATGCAGGGGTATATCATCAGATACATGCAGGGATGCATAAGTGCGCGTGTGCATATCAGGTTTCTTGGTTTAGCATTTGGGGTTGAGGACTTCTTCAAGATCGCAGATCCATTTTTCAAGGCCCGAAAACTTCACGGGGATAGTAGTATTGGGAGGGACTCTAAAGGCGGCAGAAAGGTGGGAAGAGGGCTCAAGCTTGGGGCGCAAAAGTGCTAACAATCTCGGCCTTTGCGACACATGTCACCATGCAGCAGTTGGTTGTATGTCCCCTGCTAGCTCCTTGCGCCGATCAAGATATCGGATATAGTTGGAGGGTCAGGGGAGTTTAGTAAGGACATTGATAACCACTATATCCCGTATAGCAACCCTAATTATCCCCATTATTAACCTACTTAAAAAGTCCCCCTGACCCTCCAAGTAGTTACTAAGACAGGATGCACTGGAAAGCTGAAGCATTGGCTAGGAATTCCACCCGAAACATCCGCACCCCTAACTTACCTGAAGTTAGAAGAAGGGAATAAGAGAATGTATCAGTTATATTGGGATTATGTAGGGATTCTATCCTTAGACTAAACCCTACACCCTAAGCCCTAAACCCTTTTATTCACTACAAAACCACCACTGGGCTAAACGGAAATTAGGTCGGCTCATGCGGTGAACATGCATGGGGAAGTCTCAAAATTTGTGGGGGCAGTATCGTTGGGGACAATGGGGATATACCAAGCATAGAAGAATTGATTCGGGTCCCCGTTAGGGCCAGTAGGGATTCTAGAAGGACAAGTTTGAGAAACCGGTACATGAGATCTATTCAAGCAGTAACAGCTCAGCTAGTCCGAAAAAGGAGAAAATTTTGTCGAACAATCCGTCGCTGAGCCCGTGGAAACCCAGTGCGTTCGTATTCAAGAACCCAGGAAAAACCTCCCCACAGCTGCCAAAACGGGCTGTCTGGCCATCGAACCCTCCGCGGGCCGTTCCCACATCTGCAGATTCAGATCGTTGTATTACACTGCGGAAAATCCCCAGTAATACGTGGATGTTAATGATCCCAACCTCTATAACAAGGGCCCTTCCACTACATTCCCCCTTCTACCAAGTGCGGAAGGCAACCCTGGGCCCCAGACCTCAGACATGAGACCTCCGAGCTTGACCGGGTTGCCGTCAAAGACTTTTACGCTAATCACTATTATAAGGAAGCCCCACTTTTCACTACATACTTATGTTATGGTAACACAATTACCCTCGTCAGCAACCCAATTGAGAAACTGCGGCATCTTTTTAGCCTTTGAAGGCACCCGGGAGACATGCCGTCACCAAGCTATCAACTGCCTCCCAATACCTTGGCAAGGATTTCATGCAGGGGTTAAGGGCCTAGGACTAGGATTTAGGGTTCAGGGTTGAGGGTCGGAGGAGCATATTGCTTCTGAGCCACCCAGGCAAGCAAAACACGTTCGGGGACGTAGTTGCCTATAACAGTCATTCAGGATACAAGCCTCCTCAATTACATATCAGACCCTTGCAGGCTTCAAGCCTCCAGCTCATGTCAAAAAAGAAGAATACAGCACAAAACACCCTGAACCCTAAACCCTGCATACCCTACAGGTGTCTGCACCTACACAACGGGGAACCCGAACCCGCCATGGACTATCAACCTGCGAGTCCCTGTAATGTCACTGAATGACATACAAGGGGTTAGAGAGGAACAAGGGACGATACAGTTCAGGGGTTCTAGCCCCCCTTAAGTAGATAGAATATGTCTTTCGGTATATTATAATAAGATCCCCATATACCCCATATTCTATCTACTTAAGGGGGTTATATAGGGATTATATTCCCTGTATTCCCTACGAACCACGAGTAAGATGATGCCTCTACAAATCCCATGGCAATCCATTTCAAACCGTGTAGAGCTCGGCATGAATCCATGATGCAATTGTGCATTATTTGTATATTATGATAATTCTTAATGTTATCAGTATTATCATTACTGCTATTATTCTTGGTAATGTTACTATCTCGCTACTACTATTATTACTATTACTCTATTTTACTAAAATTGGTAGTAATATTTTCAGTATTACTATTAAGAGGACCCACTCTTCAAGGAAGACCCCAACCCTCCACTGAGCCTCCCAAGACCCATAAACCCGCCGCAAAGGTCCAAGACACTCCTGGGGGTTGCTAGTCATGGCCCGGCAGTGCGGGGATTTCTCAAGAATCCTTGGCTCTTTGAGGCGTCGAGTGGAGTTAGAGGCTTGGGGTTTGGCATGGGGCTTTAGTGTTAAGAATCTCAGTTTGTGCTGCAGGCATCTTCGAGGCTTGGAACTTGAAGTTTGGGACATTGAATTAACACGTAAAAATAATGAGAGAGTAGACACCCACCAGCACGCGTAGAAGAATGCGATGTACTAGCTAGAGGCACCATCTACGGCCCGTTCCCTGCCTGAACATGCCCTACATGATAAACTGCACATGCTTCACGACCGCAACCTGGCCATGCTGGCATTCTGCACATGACGAGACATGCAGTGACAGGCGACCAGTCATACCTTGCAAAATCCCTTAATATCCCCTATAGCAGCCCCCTATATAATCCACTTGAATAACCCCCTTTGAGGAGTTTAGATTATGGTTCATCTGGGGTGAAGGAGGGGACTCACCAGTTTCCCACCCAAGGATTTTAAAACCTTGCTAGGTAGCCCAACTCACAACCGCAAAAAATAACCACCTAAGCAAGCCATTGCCACTGATTTCTAGGCAGTGACGGAATGCACAATTCAACACTACCATACCGTGTAGGTCAATTACACTTCTTACTCCGACGTGGTTTATTCCTTGCATATGTCACTGCTTGATTCCTTCCTAGACTAACTAATGAACTCTTACAGTAATGCTGTACATGTAGCAACCCTTTCGTTCAACTTCCTACCATCAAAGCTAGTTATAAGCTTACAATACTCAAAGACAAACGCCGACATGAACGTTTAAAACTCACGCAAAAGCCTAACAATTACAACACGTTATATAGCAGCTTCCACTAGCATATCCGTTTCTTCATCCACTTCCAACTTCTAACTGGCTACTCTGCACGACTTCCAAAGCTGAAGTAAGGCCATCTGGAAAACATGTTTCATGCCAACCACCATTTGAGCCATAATCTAAACTCCCAGTACCCCCCCTGATATCCCCTATAGTAGTTCCTTGACATAATCGCTGATACTTCCTTTACATAAACCCCTTTGTGAAATTTAGATTATGGCTCATTTGGGGTCAGGTAGGGTGAGGCCAGGTAAGGTCGTTGTAGTTTGCTTTGCAACAAGAAGTCAGGTTCACAGGGTGTAGGATTCAGGGTTCAGGCTTTAGGGTGTAGGGTTCAGGGTTTAGCGTTTAGGCCACACCCGCGGCCGAAGGTCAATGTTCGAACGCCGGTCCCATCTTGCCCAAGGATAGATGCGTCCTCGAACTTACTGGCTCTCAGTAGGGAATAGGGAAATACGATCCCTATATAGTCCTTAAATAATGTATTCCCATGTTCCCCACTAACTCCCAGTAAGCAAAGGGAGAGGTCCGGGATTCACGGGGCTGGATACGCTCTGGTGTGGGAGTGATTGTTGAGGCTGGTTGGGTTGGAGGAAATGTGGGGGCTCTATAAGGGTCAAATAGGGATAAAGGAAAAGAAATGGAAACTAGTACATCATAATAGGGTTTCATAGGCAATATTGGGGTTATCTAGGGATAATGGAAAAGACAATGGAAACTACTACATCATAATTAACAGGGTTTCATAAGGAATATTGGGGCTATCTAGGGATGATGGAAAAGAAAATGGAAACTACTATAATAGGGTATATATTGGGGTTATAATATGGTTCTGGGTAGGTATACCATTGTTGGGGGCTTGCAGGCATTTTGGGGCGAGAAGTTTGCGATTGCAGGTTTTTGGTCTTGCGCATGCATCCCATTTGCATTAGGGGCTGGTCGGGAAACCCTAAACCCTAAACCCTAAACCCCAAACCCTAAACCCCAAACCCTAAACCCCAAACCCTAAGCCCTAAACCCTAATGCTTGGCTTATGATGACGAGTGCTATTGACAGCGTTCCTAGGCCGATTATCCTCTTCCGAAAGCTAGCAATTGCGACCCAACAATCATATACTTACCCAAAACCATATTATAACCGCAGTATATACCCTATTATGGTAGTTTCCATTTTCTTTTCCATCATCCCTATACAACCCCAATATTGCCGATGACACCCTATTATGATGTAGTAGTTTCCATTTTCTTTTCCATTATCCCTATATAATCCCAGCATCCCAATTTTGAATACAATACCGTCCAAGGGTTTCTCAAAACAGGATGATCTTGCTGACTGTAGGCTTCTATGGGGACTACCAGAGGATTAGAGGAGTCGTTATTCCAGCTCACGGGGTCCAGGGGCATTTTTAAGTTGGTTCATAAGTAGGATAACTAATTGTTTCTGTGGCATCTTATTCGGCGAGCTCCTCGACTTCGGAGGCTCGTGCGGCTGAGGGGCAAAGTAAAAATTGAGTAGCTCAATCAGGATGATAAAGTATACTACGTACACTGGCTAACTTGCACTGACCCTCCAAGTAAGGCTTTGCTGAACAACTCCCGTCCTTCCATCGCTGCGCTTGCTCCAGCACACGGTTAGGGAGCTCGCGCAGCCACTTGGCAAAGATCAAGGATCGGTCCAGCAAAACCACCTGCACACAGCGTTGAGTCTTGGGGGCTGAGGCCTAAGACGATCTATTCGGGTTCAGGCTTCGGGCATGGGATTTAAGTTCTGAATTACCTGATGCTGTCCAAACAAAAAATCTGAAGTCAATGTTGTGGTTTAGCTGTCGGTTGCACTTTCTTGCGCAGAACTTTTTGAGATGTTTGGGTTTGCCAATTGTGCTTGTGGCCTTTGACCTCCACGCGCTCGCATTGGCCCTAGTTGGGTTCCAGTGGTATAGCGCTCAGACCTGGATCACAACATAGAAGTTGTCAATGAAGCATACGCACGGATGCTTGAGAGTTTCTGACCACCATCTAGAAATCTTCTTCTAGCACCTATCGCAAGTACCCCTGAAGTAGTCGCATTTCTGAAAATCTACCTGCTCTTGAAAACTGTCAGAGTCTGAGTGGACAGATGCCAGAAGAAGTCCTCTTGCCTTCCCCAAGATTTGCGGTACCTACCAGGACGATGAAAGTTGCAAGACATACGTGCATGAGAACAGCTTCGCCTGGGTACCATTGATGCTGGTAACATGTTTTAAAACTTTTCAGAATAATGTACAATCACACGAAACTCCACCAAACTTGCGCAGCTATGCACCATGAGTACATAGCAATGCTCAAATTGCACGGAAAAGCGTTGCTGGGCACAATCGGCTTGTTAATCCGCCATGCTGCGCTATCATTGACCTTAGCCTGTTCTAGCAACTCCCTGGACGAAGACTGAAATGTACAATCACAACACTGCCCCACTCAATCAGCTTTGTCAGACGCGAGTTGGCGGTACAGGCCACATCGTGCAAGATGTCATACTCCATAAAAGGTACCTCTTAGGTATCCCAAGTTGCACATCCCTCCGCTCAACACCGAACAACCCTACATGACGTTGAGTATCCCGAACAACAGTAATTCAGTTCAAGTGTACGAACTTGTATTAACCTCTGAGACTTGGTAGCCCAGTAAACTTATTACAATAAGGGTGCCCTTTTTCCCTGTTGCTATATTCTATTCAAGAACCCAATACGCAACAAGGGCAAAAGAGTACCTCTGGGATTCCAATCAGAGGGCCCACCTTGTCAGCTTTCGAAGCGATGATCAAAGTCGGAATCTCGCGGAGGCAGCGCCAAATCTTCCAGACATGAGCTCTTCCTTGCTTTCCAGCCAAATACTATAGTAGTTTCCATTTTCTTTTCCATTATCACTATATAACCCCAATATACTATAGGACTACATGCCACTACAGCTTGAAGTTGGGGTTCAAAACTTCATTTGGATGAAAACTTATTTTTCTTGCACCGACCTCAAAACTACTGTTGACTTGATACCGGTGTCGACCACAATCGCAAGCAGGAATGGTCTGGAACGACCTGATAAAATCAATACCTCAACCTTCCCCCTCGTAATCCATGGTTGCAAGGGTGTTTCAAATGTGCATCTGACGGGAAACGTGCTACTCATGCCAAGCCAACAAAAAGCAGTAATCAAGCAAATGTCCATATATTAGAACAACGCATATTTCCTGACATCTTCTTTGTTTGTCAATATGCCGCTACGTAAATACAATCTAGAGGGGTGAAAAACCAGCTCAGTAAACCCTTTGGGCATCCACTAGGAATCGATGCAGTTTCGACAGTAGGATGCTGTTGCTCAATTTGTATTTGAACGAGGAAGAGTAGCTGTCTTTGGTGAGCTTCCCGGCAAGGTGGCCACCATTGGCGGAAGCAATCAGGGCCTCTCTTGTGGTATGAGCACAATTTGAGATTCAGGGTGCTGTATTTGACGCTTAGCCTTTTGAGACAGAACACCCAAAACGGCTTAGAATGGCTCCATAAGAACTAAGGGTCGTGGACTTGGGCCACAGGGCTCTGTCAAACCTTTGAAGGGTTTAGGGGGCAAAGCTACTCCATTCCGCATCAGCCTTGCCGAAGGAATTGGCGGGCTCCTCGTGGAAAGCCTGACCACTCGAAAGCGCTTTGAAACTGAACAGACTGTGTACAGGGCTTCGAAGGACCTGTGCATGAAGCGCTCGGGTAGAGAGTTTGGAGCTTCAGGAGCTCATCTTCAGGCTTGGCACTGCAACTCTTGTAGCTGCATTCCGTACATGCAATAGCTATTCTTCCTAAGTAAAAGCGGTTTGTGCTGGACTACCAGCTTCACTACTCACATTGTTGGGACTATGGTTTCGATACCGCCCCACCGTACAACACGTGTTGTCATTGTAGTCAGACTGCAACCCTGATCTGCAGCCTATTTATCACTGTTATAAGGTGTGGAGGCGGCATCCCAACCATTGACATTGCCATGGCCTGGCAGGCACCGAAGGCCATCAGCATGTTGAGGCCACAGCCAGTGAAAAATGTCAGCGCCATATTGGTTGCTGCTTTACCATCTGCTTCGCCATCGGGTCCTCAAAGTACGGGCCAGGATTAGATGTCGGGACATTGACGGGGACAAAGGCATAAATGGGGCAAAGAAGGATTCGAAAATGAGCTTGCGCAGCGTTTCCTCATGTTCACCACATACCAGGACCCTCCTGGTACCTTCAATTGGGGCTCTATGGCCCCTACTAATCGGTACTTAGGCCCAAATAGAGGGTTGGTGGAGGGTCTAGGTATATACCTCCCTTAAGGCTTGCCCGCTTCTACATTAAAGCCTTAATGAATCTTTCCTGAATCGTGAAATTTGGCCCAGATGGCTTGCAAACTGGTCCTAGCCTACGCTAATACGAAACACTACTGTTATCCATAGTAGCAGGGAGAGCTTGAAATGGACTATAGACTTTTACCCGGGTATACTGCAACTTGGGCTTTGCGCTACCTAGGTCTTAACCGCACTGACCCGCACCTCCCGGATGACTGCTTCCTCAACTCTTGGCGGGGATCCCAGCAGCGCAACGTAAACCCTTGGCCCTGCGATGCGCTAAAGCCACCAAAATCCCAAGCCAGTTCCGACCGCACGTAATACACACATCAGCCAACATCGCCCGAACAAAGCCCTGAAACTAGCCAGTTCCAGCTAGACTCCTGGGGATTCCGCCGGGTCTTGAACTTCCTTATCCTCCTCAGATATCGTGACGGCCTCGTTTCCGTACATGCCGGCTCCGTCAGAGATCATGCAGCTGACAGGGGCAGATGGTACAAGAACTACCTTCAACTGCACAACTACCTTTATAGGCTACACTCGGACTGAACTGTAGAAAAATTGGGATTGCAGAGCTTAAATTGAGTTTAAGCCTTGGAGCTCAGAAATGAAGGCTCACATGTAAAGCGGTGTAAGCCTCTCGGATTTTGATGTAGGACCCAAGACCCTTCTTTCTATTTAGTACCCCTACTTGGGGTAGTATTCCCCCTAGAAATGGATACTTAGGCCCTAACAGAGGGTAGGTGGAGGGTCTTGGACTGCAGGATTCGGACCCTTTTCCAAAGAAGGATCGGCCTGATTGATTCTGTGGGCGATGCGGAGACCTGGTAGGCAGCAGAAACCCAACAGATATGCACAAGCATATACATATATAGGTATATCCATACTAATATATGGATATATGTACAAGAAATGTGTAAACACGAATGAGCCGAGGTACGCCGACAAACTCTATATATACATATATACATACATACATATATACAGACAGAGAGACAAAGAGGGAGAGATGGAGAGAGGGGTTCAATGTTCGGGGTATTCTACGGTGCCGGATGATGGAAGAATGTAGCGCCTAGTACATACAATTCAAGGTCCTACCTTGCGAAAGATTTTTCAGAATTGCGCGAGGCGCCTTCTACTCCAAATTGGTGTGAGCCACAATCTAAACACTTAGTATCCCCTTAAAACCCCCATAATAATCCCCTACAGTGCTCACCTATATAAACCCCTATAAGGAATTTGGACCCTAAACCCTGATCCCTATACAATCGCTTTGTAACCGCCTTTCATTTGAGGAGTTTAAACTCTAAACCATGAACCATGTATAATCCCTCATATAACCCACCTAAGGAGCTGAGACTATAGCTCATGCAGCAGCTTGGATCTCCTCCTTTTGAAAAGCTGGCATTACACGAGCCAACGAACGGATGCTGATTGTCTTACTGGTGCTTAAGGGACAGTGGGGGGGTGCATCCTTTTTATGGTCCGTAAGCCCTAAAACCTCAACCACATATACCCAATAATGGTACCTATATTCACACCCCAGAAACAGAGAGGACCAGAGAGCTCAGAAAGCTTGCAAAACCGCTCTTTCTGGCCTCCCAACAATATTCCTAAGCAGCCAGGCCCTTGCGGAAATACCCACTACATAAGCCCTGAACCTCAAATCTACTGCAAAAGGGGTTCAGGACCCTTAGATTGGACCCTGTTTTGCATGGGCCATACACTGACGTCCATTTTGGATGCGGCCTTTGGGTCCCACCTTACCTTCGATCCTTTGATACTCCCATTTTGGTAGTTTCCTCTTTATTTTCCATTATCCTAATATAACACCCGGGTGCCCTAAATTCCATTGCGTTTTCCATTACCCCAAAATAGCCCCAACCCTAAACCCTGAACCCTAAACCCTAACCCATCCGCCTCACCGTTCTGCCAACTCCGTTGCCACATCTCCACCAGATCACAGGCGGAGCCACAGCCTCCATCGCTGAAGAAGTGGAGGATCACCTGCAGAATGACAATAATAACAATTGCAATAATAATAATAATAGTAATAATAATACGAATACAAATACTAATAATAATAATAGTAGTAATAATAGTAATAATGACAGTTACAAGAACAGTAACAATTAAAAAGAACAATAACCAGCAGAATGCAAGGCCCAATTTGAACTTGTTTAGGGATATTACAAGGTAGGTTATATAGGGGATTATATAGGGAACTACTATAGTATAGGGGATTATATAGGGTTTTGAACTGCTTTAGGGATATTACCACCCCCTATACTGGAGAAACAAATGGCAAAGCAAATGGAAAATGAAATGGAAACTGGCATTCTAGGGTAGTTGGGCTTAATATGAGCTAGTCTAAACTCCTTGAAGGGGGCTATATACGGATTATATAGGGAAGTAGTATAGGGGATTATTTTGGGGAAAATATTAGGAGTGCATGAGGGGAGCCGGGTTTTGGGTAAGGTAGATATAGTAATCTACCCAATTGCTCAGGCTTCTACGTTGTGTGCCAATGCCAAGGTCCTCCCACATTTTCCATTGTGTAAACTCCTAGTATCCCCTTAATACCCCCTATAGTACTCCCCTATATAATCCCCTATACAACCCCCTTTAAGGAGTTTCGACCACAGCTCATATGGGATTCTGTTGAATCATGGGCACCCTTTTGAGGTCCTGAATGATCAGGCTTTGATTTTTTGCTACACAGATGAGCAGCGGACTTACTAAGTGCTTCTTCCTTTGGATGCAACATCTAGGGCAGACCCTTTCGTGTTACAGGGTCTCTGCTTGAATGACAAGCCGCACAACGCTGGATTAAAGACTTGATTCTCACCTATTGCTATAAAAGCTTATCATGAAGAGGCAGCATCACAAGTTGGGTATCGTTTGTTGAGTAATGTTGCGAAATTGCAGAGATCGCATCCGCTCAAGACGCGCTTTTGTGGACGATAGTTTTGTCAGCCAGAAACCGAAGCTTACCCCCAGCGAATGCGCACCCTGTCACGCAAAGCTCAACCACGTAGAGTCTAGAGAGTACAATCTTGAACTTCGAATCCACCTCCGCACTCACCCCAATATAACTGTAATATGACCGCAATAACAAAGCCCTGGTGTGAAGTTCCTTAATAGCCCCCCTTAAGCAACAGTCAAGAAAGAAGCGCCGAGAGACAGGATGATTCTCAATCACCTGGCTCAGGGTCCAAAACTGCTGAAGAGTATTTGGGGGCTTCCCAAAATTAGGGGTACCATATTGGGGGTCCCAATAATAAGGATTATAGTATTTGGGGGTTTACATTGGGGTCCCCCTATATTGGGAAACTACTATTTGGAAGCCTGAGTCGGATTAATTAAGAAGTGAGGCTTTTTATAGAAACTTGGGTGAGTTGAAATCTAGGTATGCTTTCTTCAAATCCACCCCAGCGCGGGCATGTTTGGCCTGTCTTCCCGTCTTCAAATCCGATGCCACACACACAAGATCAGGAAGAAAAGAGGAGCTTCTTCCCTACTTTAACACCAGCTCATGCATCATTCAAGGGTTCTTGTGTTGTACACCTAAGGTAATACTGGGCTGTTACGACTGGCTAAGCTGCTTCCCAAGCTGGATCCTACAGCCATTTGTGTTGTGGAATCGCAAGATCGACAGCGTATGGGCAAAATTGCTGCAGGGCAGTGGCAGTTGGCCCCTGACCGATGAGTTCCTTTGCCTTTCTTTGGGCCTAGACGCATTGATACTGAGCCGTTTGCTGACGATCTTCCAATAGCTGTCATTGGTCGGGTCTTTAGGCCCCTACAGTCTGACATTGAGGTCATCTTGACTTATACCATTACTATTGTTATTACTATTATTACTATTACCTTTACTATTGTTATTTTATTATTTTTTCCAGTTCCACTTGCAGGGAAGGGCCGAGACAGACTTCTTTGGACTGGTGGCAGCTGAAGCCTACTGCAGCTTTGTAGTTGCCTGTGAATTCATGCCTGATTTTGGGGACGAGGCTCGAAATCGGGCCACTCATAGTCCGCAAACAGTGAAACAGTACACCTAAGGTCGTACCCCTATAAGGTTACCCCAATATAGCACTAATATAGCCCTCATATGGGACAATGTAGTCCTCTAGATTCCCTCAAAAGGATCCCAAAACCCAGGTGTACAACCTTGGTACAAGCCTGAAACCCCTCAATCATGGTTTTCCACCTCCGTCCTCCATGAGCTTAGCGCAGACCGGCCCTAAACCCTAAACCCTGAAACCCTGAAACCCTAGACAACCCTAAACCCTGAAACCCTAAACAACCCTAAACAACCTTTAAACTCTGAAACCCCAAAACCGCTCCTCCATGAGCTTAGCGAAGACCAGGTCTAGCATGTCTTGTCTGCCGCTCAAGGCTGGTCCAAAGGCCAGCACCCCAGCACCACCTGAGCTTTAGGGTTTAGGGTTTATGGAAGTCTAAACTCCTAGTATCCTCCTTAATAATGGAGAATCAAATGAAAAAGAAAATGGAAAATGAAATGGAAACTGGGACTATATAGGGGATTACAAGGATTATTGTCTAAACTCCTAGTAGCCCCCTTTGTCCCTTATATAACCCCCTTTAAGGAGTTTAGACTTTTATAGCTCGCCTGTGGAAAGCAATGGCTTGGGGCTTCAGGAAGGGAAACACCTATTGGGCTTTGAGATTGGATATGCCAAGTAATTTCCATTTCATTTCCCTTATTACTACCTCACCCCCCTATTATTAAAAACTCCCTATATATTATGATATACCACAATGGGGAATATTTAGTATAGGATGGGCGGGGGGATTTAATATCAGGGGAGGAGATTAATGTATTCAGGCTTTGGGGTCCTAGCGGAAATCGTCCCCTTTAGAGCAATCCAAAGCCCTCAGGACTGTAGGGAGCTCACACGACGACCTGCATTGTCTTTGCTGCTCCCCATGTTGCGGCTTGTAGCTGCCCTGAGATTAAAGAGAGTCCCACATTGCACGCCGCGCTGCCTTTGGTCCAATGCTCAATGGCTGGCTGCAAATCATCGAGATGAGAGCCCCCGAAACCGCACAGCAAAACAATGGGACTGTGCGCATCCCTGGCGGCATAGTACTCCTGCACATTGGAGTAGACCCCGTATAGAGGAAACACTTGTTGATAGAACTGGCTGCGTACCCTGGACACAAAAGAGTCAAAGTATGCCTTGCTTCAGAACCCAGATGCTACATCCACCATTGAGGAAGCCCAAGACACCAAGCAAAGTTGATGGCACACGATTCGAGCAGCGCGATCCCAGGAGTTTTTGCTACAGAGCTGAAGCAACTTCCCCAGGAATAAGATAACCCGCTTGCGATTCTCGCGCTTCCAAGCCAGATACAGTCTAAGTGCGCGGTGGGCGGACGATAAATGGACCCCATTTTGGTTGGGCAGACTAACCCAGAAACCTGGGCACACAAAAAAGAAAATCGGTCAAAATGACAGACCCGGAAGCAAATCTTCGACGCTTGCCTCAAAAGCCTTCATGTCCCGCTTTCTCGTCTTCATGCTTGGCTTCCTTCACCTGCCTCAAAGCCTTTTGCTCCAGATCGCCCACTGACTCCTGCACCTTGTTTCCCCAACACTTTAGGGTTTAGGGGTTTTGGGGTTTAGGGTTTCGAGGTTCAGGATACCCATCCAAAAGAAGAGCGGAAACCTTTCAGAACACAGCAAACGAAAAGAAAAAAAAATGATTTCAATACAAAACAATGAACACAATGAACATGAACTTGAACATGCCCATTATGCGCATAACAAGCTAAGGCACATTCCTCAGGGTGCCATGCTTCTCACTGCCCTGCGCTAAAAGCAACTCCTAAGCTCTCCAGAAACCTAATGCAGACCCCTAATTTCTAAACCCCCTCCTATTAATTCCCTATGGTTTAGGATTAGGGTTTAGGGATTAGGGTTACCCAGACCCCTGATTCATGAACCCCCTCCCCATAATGGGAATTATAATAGGGATCCTAATATTAAGGCCCTTAAAAGGAGGGGGCTCATTAATCATGGGTCTACATTAAGCATAAAGAGGGCTCGCGTGTTGGCACTGCATAAGGAACCTAGGACCCCTAAACGCTTTGACTCCAATGCCCCGAAGCCCCCTAAACCCTCACAACTTAGCCACTAAACCCCTGAACCCACGAAACCCCACACCCTTCAAAGGGTTTACTTGGGCCATAGTCTACACTCCTAGCATGCCCTGATTAACCCCTATAATGCTCCCTTATATAATGATCCCCTATATGACCCCCCTTGAAGGAGTGTAGACTATAGCTCACTTGGGGGTCCAAGCTCTGGAAGCGGAGGGCTCCCTTGGAACCGCTTCCCAGTTTCGCGGACATCTGCGGGCACCAGGAGCCTGACCACCCTTAGGGTTTAGGGTTTACCCTGCAGACGGGTTCACTTCCAGGGACAGTTTTGGGGGTATTACATCGACGTTCAGGGATTCTGTGGCAGTTGGGTCTCCGTGACTATGCTTGAAATCACTGGCCAGCGCAG